CTCTCTCTCTCTCTCTCTCTCTCTCTCTCTCTCTCTCTCTCTCACACACACACACACACACACACACACACACACACACACACACACACACAAATGTACGAAAAAAAGGTGCTGTCTTCGCCTGAATAGAATGCCCCGTCATTACAGCTGCATCCAGGGCAAGTTTCAGTCCACAAATGTAACCACCATAATGACCGCGAGTTCTATTTTGGGTGAAAACAGTAGGAGTAGCATAGTAGTCGTAGCAGTGGTGGTGGTGGTGGTGGTGGTAGTAGTAGTAGTGGTAGTAGAAGTGGAAGTACTGTAGACACAGGGAACCGCGTTCCTGTAGAGGCGGGAAATGGCAATGAAGATTATGAAGTTGAAAACACAAAACAAGGCCTCTTTTTCCATCCACCTGCTGGTCGAGGGTTCAGACTTTTCATTCATACAAAGGGTTGTGGTTCGTCGATTTCGCTTCCAGCAGCGCCTTCATCTTCCCAGAAGCTGGCACCTGTCACTTTCAGACTTGGCAAATTCCATTTTGTGGTTCGTCAATTTCGGTTCGGATGCACTGGTGGTGGTTTAACTGCCACGAAGCCTCAGAACGATGGGCAAGAGCAAGCGAGTTGTGGTTCCACCTATTTATGTATCCATTCCCCCAGCGCGGCCCCGTCCAACTTCCCACGTGGACTAACATCCTCATCTAAACAAGACCAGGAGGTTGTGGTTCGGCTTAATCAGCAAGGTTACTCTGTGGGCGATACGGAAGGAGCACTTCAGCATTACTATGGAGTCTGGAGCAAACAAGGAGCCGAAGGCTGTGTTGTTGAACAACTCGGTCGCAGAATTGTCCTTCACCATGTCCAGTGCAGAGAGGTGAGAGGAGTTTAAAGAGAAGCAAATCCATTCATGCGTCCACTACATCATTTGTATTTGCCTTCGCCTCTTCGTGATGCTGACAGACAGGGGGTCACCAAAACATCAAGATAGATAGATAGATAGATAGATAGATAGATAGATAGATAGATAGATAGATAGATAGATAGATAGATAGATATAGATAGATAGATCGATAGATAGATAGATAGATAGATAGATAGATAGATAGATAGATAGATGGATCAATAGATCGATAGATAGATCGATCGATCGATAGATCGATAGATAGATAGATCGATAGATAGATAGATAGATAGATAGATAGATAGATAGATAGATAGATAGATAGATCGATAGAACGATCGATCGATAGATCGATAGATAGATCGATAGATCGATACATAGATCGATAGATTGATAGATAGATCGCTAGATCGCTAGAAAGATCGATAGATAGATAGATAGATAGATAGATAGATAGATAGATAGATAGATAGATAGA